TGCCCTTTAGCATGGTGTATTTTTATTTGTTTTGTTAATAAAAGTTCTGTTTTATATATAGACTAAAGTGAGTTTGACGTTGTATTTTGTTGTTGCATTCAAGCAATTGACGCCGAACTGCCGCTAATTCGAAAGTGAAAGTAAAATGTGCACGGTGCTTTTAAGCTATTTATAAACGAAGGAAAGCGAGAAAAAGAGGGAACGCCCCTGCCTCGCGGTGATACCGGTATTACCGGTGTTGTCACACGTCGATTAACCGGTGGGAAAATTTCCTCACCGTCACAACCCTAAAATACACTAAGCATAAATAGTATTATTTGTACTTAGTGTAAATTAGTGTTATTTTTGTTTAATTCGAATTTAATTGAAATAATATTAAAGTTTGTATTAATATTTTGAATAATTGTTTTATTTTTTGTTATTTAAATTGTAGTCTTAGTAATAGTAATTTTGTTGTGTTTTTGTCATTTTTTGAAGGTTTTATTAAATGTCTATTTTTTTTTTTTTTTTTTCAGTCTCAAACCCTTCTAAAGGTTAAAATGGGTTTCTCACACTTCCTTTTTTGCTTTAGCAATTGACTAATAATCCAAAAAAACTAACACCCAAAAACATCACTTAACAGACTTTGAAATTCATAATGAAGGAAGTCTTCAATTTCGAGTAAACTTTTGAGTCCTAAATTTCCTAAGTTTTCATGTATCTCATATTTTAGTCTTTCTCAAGCTACAATAACGGTTTTCTGTTTTTCACCTGACTCTTTGCTGTTTTTTGATTTTTGGTGAATTGCATGGAAACCAATGAGGGTCAATTTGACCCCAACACCACCAAAATGTGTACAGCCTTTCCAAAACACATCTATGTGTTGAGACTTTGCACACACATTCATGACACAAAATGAGAAAAAGCCACCAAATTTCAAGAAGTAATAAATAGTTTAACCAGTGTTTCAAACTGTTTAAAAATCAAACACAGTATGAAAGTTGAGTTTAAAAAACATTGTAAAATTTACACGCATCACCTTCAAGTTTAAAGTTCAAATTCACAACTCGATAATGCTAATTTGGGGGCATGCTTTATAGAGATATTGACCTTTATGCTTCCTCACTGGCCTAATGTACAGAATGCCAGCGACGCTAAATTAGCGTAAATAGTCAAGACTCCGCCATCAGCTGTGCTACCGAAATAACGTTTCAGCGAATTAGCAAGAAGGTGGCAGCTGCAGGGCAAATGGGCGTCTATTTCCACACGTCGTGAACAAAAGGTCACTCACCGGTGGTGTCTGGCGGCGGCTGAGGTCGCTGTGGTGCTGGAGGCGTGGGGTTCGACACTGGTGAGGGCCGCACTACTTCCTGTGGCGGCTGCTCGGATTCTGTGGGAATACCCTGAGGAACGGACATTAACAGATTGATCATTTGTGTGGTTTAAACAAGGTACTATTCCAGGTCCTTTCTTCTTTATTAATACACATTAATTATGTATGCAATTCATTGGTGCAAGATATTTTATAAAATGTGACCCTGGAGCACAAAAGCAGTCTTAAGTCGCTGGGGTATATTTGTAGCACCAGCCAACACTATCAATGGAAAGCTTATTTCAATTATCAAGAATCTCAAGAATTGACCCTTATGACTGGTTTTGTGGTCCAGGTTCACAAATAATAATAATAATAAAAAAAAATTCAATAAAAACGTGTCTCAATGTTATAAATTTCCATTAATTAAAATTATAATTACTATAAATTTTCATTTAATTAATAATTATATTTATACTTATTACTTATAATAATAAATAAATAAATAATTATTTTATTTCTGCTTTTTGAAAAGCAATTATACATGACCATTAGACTGCAACAATAGAAAAACATATGAATTATGCATACTGTAGCAGTAATATTAATATGTACTTAAATAATTTATCTATTATTAAATGAAATTTTACTATTAATATTTATCATTATAATTATCATTGCTATTGTTGTTGTTTATGCTATTTTATATCTATATATATACATACACACAAAATTATATATTTATGCAACATTGGTGATCTAAATGGTTGCAAACATATTTATTTATTTAATATATTAATTCTTTACTATGTATTACTATATATATATATATATTTAATATTACAATTAATTTTACTATTAGTATAAATATCAATCATTATAATTATCATTATTGTTGTTATTTATACCATTACAGAAAAATAAATAAACACACACACACACACACACACACACACATTCATTATTTGCATATGTTTATGTAAAATTGTTTGGTGATTTAAAATGGTTGCAAATATAATAAGATATTTTACCAAACAAATGGACAGAATATTAAAGAGCTGCAAAGTGCAAATATCAATAAAAGTCCCTGATCCTATTTCACTCAGAAATGTGTCACATTCCGAAGTAAAATGGCTTGAAAATGTCATTTCATGCTGACATCGAGCAAGACTAGTTATATTAGTTCTCCCAGTATTTTCTGGGAATAAAACATCTGCAGCTTTACTATAGTAAGTAAATTAGTAACTCTCACCATAAGCAGGTACTCCACGGCTCTGTCCGGATTGTTGAAGCTTGCTCGTAATGCAGAGATCACCTGTTCTCTCTCATAACCCATTGACATGATTTCCGTAACCAAATTTTCATACGCTTGACCTGTAACTAAAGAAACACAAGGCGACAGATGTTAACGTCAAGTTCTTCTCTCCTTTACCTAGTTTATAACAAAACCGAAAACCAAACGTACCTAGTATGGACGCAGCTGCTTCTAAAAGACCCAATTCATCTGTAATGCTGAACAAAACACACAACAAATTGAGGATTTTTCATTCTTTAAAGGTGACATATCATGAAAATCTGACTTTTCCAGGTTTTAAGTGCTATAATCAGGTCTCCAGTGCATCTACCAACCAAGGAAACGTGAAAAAGATTAACCCAGTAACTTTATTCCGCATAATATTACCGCCCCTTAATCTGTAAGTTTACACCCACGGCGCCGTCATTTTGCTTTCACAAGCGACAACGGTGTGCTAGTTCTAATGCCATGCCGAAAGTTTGAGCAAAACTTGCTAACTGTTCTGTCTTTGGCTGCACAGACGAGCACAGAACACTGTTTAGAGTCCCAGCCTCAGAGGAGACGACAGAGCAGTAGATTTATTGATTTATTTACTGTATATTGCTGCTGCCACACAGATCTAAAACAAACATGCAATTTATTTCCCAGCTGTTTACCTTCACAGACATAACCGACTGTTTTTGTAACTCGTGTGTGAATGAGAACTTAGTTTAGTACTCACATGCTGTGACAGCCGCTTTCTGTCCGTGTGCTTCAGATGTGTGCACTCAGGAAACCGTATATCAGAAGTTTAAACTCATATGGTTTAAAACGCATGATTTCAGCGCGATAAACATTATAATCAGAACCAAAACAGATGTTTTTTTAGCAGGTCCGAGCTGTAATGGTGCAGCTCTATTCTGGAAAAGGGGGCGGGGAGCAGTAGCTCATTTGCATTTAAAGAGCCAGGCCCGAAAAACAGCGTGTTTCTGCTTCCACTCAAAATAGGCATTTTCAAAATGATATAATAAATGATCTGTGGAGTATTTTGAGTTGAAACTTCACAGACACATTCTGGGGCCACCAGAGACTCATATTACATATTGTAAAAAGGGGCATATATGTCTCCTTTAAGCAATTAAAAAGTTTGTTTTTGTGGGCGTGGCTGTACCTGGCCTCTGATTGGGCGACGGCCTGCTCCTCTTGGGCTGCCTGGTTCTTCTCTTCTGAAATCAGAGTGGGAGTGGCGCTAACAGGCTCAGGCTTTTCTGCAGCAGTCTCCGAGGCAGCAGGGGGCGCTGTAACGGGCGTCACGGGTGGCTCCGCTGACGCTGCTGATTCTACGGGAGCGGGAGGAGGGGTCGGTACCGGCACTGTGGAGGCAGCAGGAGGTGCAGCAGGAGGTGAGGGTGGATGTGCAGGGGTTTCGGCAACAGTCGCGCTAACCGTAGCGGCGGCTGCCGGTGCGGGAGGAGGAGCTTGTGGCGGTGCTGCAGATTTGGGCTGTTGAAAGAGAAACACAACTGCACAGAGAACTATAGAAACCTGCCAATGAACTTTAACAATGTTTCTATCCAAAGTTGCGAATTCAACTTGTGCGAAATATTGAAATTTTGCAAAAAAACATATGCTAGGGCTGGGACAATAAATCGAGAAATGATTCTGCATCGATTCTGAGATTATCGGAATGCATCGCGATTCTCTCTAGAATCGATTCTGAGCTTAGTTTTTAACAGCAGATGGCACTGCGTGCTTTAGAAATAGACGAATTCTGCTTGCTTCCAGTTCCTTGCACACGCACCACTTGAACCTAAAATAATAATTCATAAAGTTCGAAAAGGTTGAAGCGAATTACAAGGATGTTCACAGTGGGCTGTGTTTACATTAATCTCGTATCATAAAAGCATAAAAGCCGATGTGCAAGTACATTTAACCACTTACATTACTCAGCCGAACGCACAAGCGATCTTCTTCGTGAGCATTTGAGTGTGCGGTTAAAAACTAGCCTAGAGCGCCATCTGCTGTTAAAAACTAAGCTCAGAATCGATTCGAAAGAGAATCACGATGCATTCCGAAAATCTCAGAATCGATCCACGAAACGCGATGCCCTAACATATGTGAATAAAGCCCTAACATATGTGAATAAAGAAACGTGTTCGAGCGAACAAAAACGTCACTTCCTGGGAAACTGGCGCAAAGTATAAATAAAAATGGAAGTTGCCGAAACTGGCGAAAGTACTTCGGCTCTGTTTCCTACAAAATAAACTTGTGGGCAGATGAAACGCAATAACAATCGCAGTCATGTTATCTTGCGTTCGTATGTCTGATGTTTGGGAACGCAATCTTGTGAGACTGTTCTGGGAAGTAATTATACCAAATCAGTTTTTTGTTGCACATCGTGGAATTTATTCAGTTAGGGTACGTTTACACTAGGGATATGCCGGTATCAAATTTTCATGTTGCGATTAATTGCTAATGCTTTTATCACGGTATACGGTGTTATCACGGTGTTGAAATTTAGTTTTAAAAAAAAAGTGCTGTCATAATACAGTATAACACAGGTTTAATAACTTTTTTCTTATAACAAAAATAACTGAACATTTAAATGCAATAAAGCAATACAGAAAAATGTATAAAGTTAAAAGTTTTACACAGATTAAAGTGCAAAAGAACTATAAAGACCAATAGGTATCACTTTACAATAAGACCTCATTAGTTAACCTTACTTAATGCATTAACATTCACAATGAGCAATAGCTACATTTGCTACAGAAGTTATTAATCTTTGTTTAAAAAATACAAGTCTTAGTTCGTTAGCTCATTAAATAACACAGTTGCAACTTTCGAGTTTAACAACGTGTTATTAAATATTGGAATACCTAAGATTAATGAATGTTCAGAAGAATTTTTCATTGGCAGTTTATTAACTAATGAATTAACTAATGTTATCTAATGAAGCCCTAATGTAAAGTGTGACCGAACAATAAAGAATCAAAACACTTTCAAACAATATCTAGGGCATGTTGTAGTCCAGATTAAAATGTAAAAAAAGTTTCAAAATAAATAACCTATTAAGTCTAAATATTTAAGTATTTGGCGCTGTGAGGGACATCATAGCAAAGACACAAATCTGAATGGCTGTTTAATTCATTTAAACATGATTCAGAAACAGAAAGTAGTGCAGCTGCTTTGTTTACAGGGTTTCTGGGGTAACGGCTGCATTTAAATGAACTTTTATTATTATTATTATTATTATTTCTACAGTTTAGCGCCATCTGCTGTCAGAGAGTGAAAGTGCGCTTTCATCCAGAGCGTCTCACATATTCAAAATTCTGAATAATTTGTTATATATAATTATTCACGGTATTTAGAAGTGCCCACGATAACAATATCGTGCATATTCATTACCGTGATATATCACATTACCGAATACCGGCACAAGTCTAGTTTACACTACAACGATTGTACAAAAAACAGAAAAGTTTTTCCTTTGTGTTTTTGACAAGTTTTGCATACAGACGACAACGGTGTCAAAAGATTTAAGTTTTTAGTGTATACACCCCCTAAATGTGATTCCAATGTAGTTTATGCAAACATTTTCTTATCAGATAAAAAAAAAATATCCGTCTCAAATGTATTTTGAATTGTTTTATGTGCATACGTTAATTTATGTGCATTTTAAGATTTTATGCACATCTTGGTATTTCCATCCAGCGTTTTTAATGCGGCATACCACAATTTGAAAGAAAATGTATGGAAGGAAAATATATTTTTAAGGGCATTAGTGGGATTGAAACTTGCATAAATGAGCTTATGAAGAAGGCAATGAGAGAATTGTGAGGAAAATAAAAAAGCCTTACCTTTGTAACCATCACCACGACAAAGTTCTTCTCATCTATCTTGTATTCTTTTAGAGGTATATCGTCATTCAAAATTTTGCCTGTGTTTTATCGAGAAAAACAAACGCAATTTTATAAATCAAAAAGCATCTTATTAAAACCAAAGAAGGATATGGTGCATGCAAAAAGTAAAATGTGACAGTAATTATAATATATAGGTAAACATACCTTTTAAACTCACTACCATTTTTGAGCTCAGATTATAAAAAGAAAAAATCATGTATTATCCTACTTGATGTCTTAACCAATTGATGTGCTTTTTACTATATACCTCCTGTAATTTCAAGTCAATCAGACCATTGCACACTGAGATATGGGTCTCTATGTGTTCACACTGTGTGGTGGCCATTTTGAAAGCTGTCTGAAAACTTTCACCAGAAGACGAGCCATTATTTATTTTGCAAAATCTTGTCCTTTAAATTTAATGTCATATTTATTAATTAAAAATGGTTGCTGCTCCAATTAAGCTCAGTGTGCTCCCTTTAAGCTCTTCCACATTGAACTTCTATGTAAATACGTCATAAGCAGACTTTAAATATTAACTGATGGTTGTCACTTTAAGTTAATCTTTATAAAATGATTAATAACTTATTTTCATAGCTTTAAGAAGACAAAATCTTGACGCAAGCTACGTAACTATAGTTTATGCCCAAAGATGAAAGAGGCATGTTGTCCGTACAAAGAAGGAGCCATCAGAAACCTGTCGTATCTGTCCAGGAAAAAGCGACTAAAGGCTGGAATACACTACATTACTTTTAAAATTTGAACAGATTTTTAAAACACCAGGCATCATTCGCTTACCGACTTTGTAAATAATCACAAAGGAAAACTGGGCATCATGCACTAAACAAGACAAATGACAAATGAAAACAATGTGAGTTCTAAAATCGGCTGAAAATATCAAACATGTTTGATATCCTCTGACTGGATGGATTCATAGTCTGAAGCTAAAAAATCAGAGTCTGTGACCATCATACACTACGTGATTTTCTATTAAATCAGTCAACTCAAATATGCAGACTGGCTCTGACCTTTGGCAACTATAGTGGCAAAAATCGTGTAGTGTATTCCAGGTTTAAGAAAATATAAAAAAGTTGACATCCATTTAATTAGGCTAGTTTCTGTGTTCATCCCCATGAATGAAATGTTTTATTGGTTTGTTTTGTTATTTGATTTTTGAATATGTGTTACTTAGCTGAATGTGGACAAGTCTAGTTGTCGCAATGTGTTTGAATTATCAAAATTGAATGCCTCGTTTCTTTTTTGTGATTGACTCTGTACCTTCAAATAAAACATTTTTCAATTATTCTTTAAAAAGGTTGTTTAAAATAAACAAGAATGTTTTAATAAAACATGGTGTGAGCTTATTGGGAACAGGAGTGTGCTTAAAGGGTACAAAAATTACTTTTTGCATTTCTGTCAGGACCACTATTGTCAAAGATGATTGAGAATTAGCATACAGTTTGGATTGGCGGTATGGTTCTGTTCTGGGCAAGAACTCGATGTACATCTTAATTGAAATGCTTTTATCATTTAAAATTAAATTAAATATTGTGTGAGAGATTAGTATTTCATTTTAATATAACTTCTTGTACTGAAACCGATATCTTGTGCACTAAAAATGTCTCAATGTAGATTTTGGTGAGCTTAATAGCTACGTTTACCTAGTGCTGGGCGGTATACCGGTTCATACCGAATACCGGTGTTTATTTTTGTTATGATATGAATTTTTAAAATACAAAAAAAGTAATATAGCCAAAACAACCGCATAGCCGCTCTTTAGTGTAGATGCATGTTGATTTTATCAGACAATGCCGCGATTATAAATGAGTGACTCCTGGTTAACATGTATTAAAATTGGTCGTGTTTAGTCACTATTTAGTGTGGTATTTTTTGACAATATTCACTCATCATGACAGTAAAATAGGGCATTCTAAGTCAATATACTGCAATATTTCCTCTCTCAATCAGTAGAAAATATGGTTAACACCCGGTCATGCATGAAAAAAAAATACGCCATGTACCATGAAACCGGTATAATTTTGAAAAATACCGTGATATAAATTTTTGGTCATACCGCCCAGCACTACGTTTACCCCTAAGCTTTGCAATGGCAGAAATAATAAATGTCCAAAGAAACAGACCTGAATAGATTAGTTTTTGACCGACTGCTGGAAAAACATCTTGCCCCTTTTCTTCCTCTATCTTCTCTTTAAGAGCCTTTACCTGTATTTACAAGGACATCATTTAATCAGAAACATCTTCACAATTCAAATGTATGTTTTCAAGGACAAAATAAGAGTCATGAACTGTATGATTATGAAAGCAGGCAACTAATGGTCATGTGCTTCCCAAATTTTCTTCAAGAGCAATAGATTCATATGGATTCATATGGCACATGCTGAATTATGAAGCCATTTCATCTTATTGCGTTGCTCAAACACATTCAGACTTTTTTTTAACAAACCTCAAATACTCATTACAAAATAACACATTTATAAACACTATACATTTAAATAACCGAGACAAAAAGTTTTAAATAATAATAGTTCCTAAGGTAAATACAATCTATATCAGTAATGCATTGTCATTCTAGGAAAATACGAAGCATGGCAAGCTGTTTTAATATTCATTCATAAAAACAAACTAGCATATACACTGTGTATTCCAATTGTCAGTAGCATTTGTAACTTTTCTAGTAAGATTTATTGAACTATAAAGTATTCTTACTAGTCATTACTTAAAAAAAAAGAGTAAATTAATTCTACTAGTCACAGTTGGCATACACATTAATGTTTATTTTATAAATACTAGTATCTATTGAATACAGATTAGTAAAGCTGGAATACATACTAGTAACTACTGGTATAACATACATATTTGGTTTTAATAAATAATAAAATTATAAGAGGTACAAGCAATAGCTAGCTGGTAGTGTATACAAACCCCCAAAGAGTGTAGAGGCAAAAATTAGCCATTTTTAACCAGTAACAACGCAATACTAATCACTAGTGGAATAGTGACAAGTACTAGTGTCTAATGAATAAGCCTTAGTGACTAACTATTGGGATAACTAGCGTTCTAGTAGCCTATATAATTAAAAGTCCATATCAGTGAAATAGACAATATGTACAAATCACTATTGGACTAACGTTACTTGCTGTTAATTAAGATGTAACATTAAAAAAGACTAGTTCGTTTAAACGAATAGGTGTCAAGTGGGCTTGCCACAAGACGAAGAGTGTAAACAGACCGTTATTAAAGTGAATCACGCGACCGTTATTTTCAAATTAACAGCCGTTAGAATGTGCGGCTCTGTGACGTCACCTGTTATAATGCAATATTATACAATGACAGCGACTTTCCGCCGCGTTCCACACGCAGCCGCCGGAGGCCGCGGCGTTTCCCAGCGCGTCCTGCCCGCGTCCTGCCACGTTTACACGGGCACAGAACCGCACACTCACCGTCAGCTCCTCGTCTATCTGCACTTTGAACGTCTGCTGCTGGAGGGTCTTCAGAGTGATCGTCAGCATTGTGTTTGAGCGCGAAATACAGCCTCGCAAGTGTCCTCAGTGAGCGAGCGTGGAGATGTGACTCAGCTATCTTCAGGAGGGACGAGGCGCCTGTGTTATGGGAAGACGCCATCTACTTGCTGAATTGGACAAGACACATGGACACATGGACGTACAGTGACCCCTAAGAGTCTCATGAGTGTCTGACTGGCATTATATGAGATAAAATACCTAAGCAACACAAGTTTCTAGAGCTTTCCTCAGAACTAGCTTCACTTCACTCAATGACAAACCGTTGGAGACCACGAAAAAGGCAAATCTATATTTCTATAGAAATATAATTTTTATATACATGTTTGTTTTGAAAAACATTCACATCATTCTCAACAAAAGTCTTGATTTAATTGACTCAAGTAGTGAGGACACATAATTGTTTATTGTAAATCAAGAGAGAATGTGTTTGTTTGAACAAATACCATGTGTTTTTCTTGGTGTTTTACCATTTAATAACTTCAACTAACCTTGTCTTGTCAGTAAAAAAAAAAAAAAGTAAAATTTTCTGATTTGTTAAGAGACTCATTTTGAGTCTACAAGGGTCCCGTTTATGTTTTTTTTTTTTTGTCACTTGACAACAAAATGGCTCCTTGAATGTTTTTACATTGTGCTGTGTATTTAAATGATTATTTATGATAATATTATTAACTATTAGTGGTGCAACGGATCACAAAATTCACGGTTCGGATCATATACGGATTTTGAGTCACGGATCGGATCAGCAAAAAAAACCAAAACTTTACTTTAAAGGTGCAATGTGTAATATTTACATCGATCTATTGACAGAAATGCAATATAATATACATAACTATGTTTTCAGAGGTGTATAAAGACCTTACTTAATGAACCGTTATGTTTTTATTACCTTAGATTGAGCAATTTATATCTACATACACCGCGGGTCCCTTACATGGAAGTCGCCACCATGTTTCTACAGTAGCCCTAAACGGACAAACTGCTCTACACAGGGGTGAGCGGGGGACTGAGCCGTTGGTTGCAATTCGTAACCTCACTGCTAGATGCCGCTAAAATTTACACACTGCACCTTTAAGTACTTCTATACCATAGCAAAAACTACTAGCTTAACTAATAAAGTTAGTAATAAAACAAGAACAATTACACAAATTACAAGCATAGATGAAAACTACAAAGAAGACCGAAACAGGTATTTATTGGCTGCTGTCTCTTTAAGACCAAATGCACGGCCCTAATACTGACACACATCCGGTTTCTTTCTCACCAGTTTACGTTCACTTAAGAAATAACCGACTGCGTTAACTAGAATACTTGCCAAATCGGGTATTTTAACATAACTTTGTGTGTATGTAAAAAACGGAATCACGCGGTGTCTGAATCGCGCCTCTCTCTCTCTCTCTGCGAAAAAGCACGCAAGTTAAAACTGCTTGAATGTGTAGACTGGCAATACCGACGACATCTTAGTCCTGTATCGCCACCGTAGCGTCTCTAAAGGGAGGGGTGAGCGGGGGACTGAGCCGTTGGTTGCAATTCGTAACCTCACTGCTAGATGCCGCTAAAATTTACACACTGCACCTTTAAGTACTTCTATACCATAGCAAAAACTACTAGCTTAACTAATAAAGTTAGTAATAAAACAAGAACAATTACACAAATTACAAGCATAGATGAAAACTACAAAGAAGACCGAAACAGGTATTTATTGGCTGCTGTCTCTTTAAGACCAAATGCACGGCCCTAATACTGACACACATCCGGTTTCTTTCTCACCTGTTTATGTTCACTTAAGAAATAACCGACTGCGTTTACTAGAATACTTGCCAAAGTGGGTATTTTAACTTAACTTTGTGTGTATGTAAAAAAAGGAATCACGCTGTGTCTGAATCGCGCCTCTCTCTCTCTGCGGGTGCGTGCTTCGGTTGCGTGCGGCAGCAGCTGAGCGCACAGAAAAAAGCGCGCGAGTTAAAACAGCTTGAACTATTTTATTTTAGAGAGGTTATAATTATTTTAACCATTTAATGGGACTTTTTCTGTCATTATGTTATCAAATAAATTATATATATATATAAATATATATATTAGGGATGCACCGATAGGATTTTTTGGGGCCGATACCGATTTTAACAAACAATTATTGGCCGATTCCGATACCGATATTTATCACTTCCTCTCTTATTTGAAAGTTAGGCATCAAAATAGATAGTATTTTAATAATGTTTTAAATCAGCAAAGTTCAAAAACACCTGCATTAAATTATACTAGCAGTTTCATTGCTGCATCATCAAATAATTTCTAATGAACGTTGGATTGGATCCATTTAACATTCAGTAGGTCTACATAAATACAACAGAACAAAGATACATATTAAATAAACTGCTTTTTAGGTCGGTTTAACAGTTTTCAGGTACAGAAATAAAGTAAACAGATGTAAAATAACACTTCACTGTATAAATTAAATACATATTAATCCTTCTTTATTGTAACAGACTTTATTATGATTAATCTTCTAATTTGTTTTTGTATACATTTGAATGTGTTTTGTAAGTTTAAATATGTATGCGATCTCCTTTACTAAGGCGGGACTCTTATTTTGACGGGTTTTCTGGTCTACGGAGCTCAGTGTTGCCAAGTCCGCGGTTTTCCCGCGGAATTGGGCTACTTTAACACTGTTGCCGCGGGTTTAAGCGACCCCAATAACGTGATATTTAGCCCATAAAATGCGAATTTTACCAGGGGAACTCCACCAAAAACGTGTATTTTACCCCACCGGAATGCGATTTTTACCGGAGGATCCCCCTCGAAACGTGATTGGGCTAGTTTTGAGTAGCAATTGGGCGGGTTTTGTTGTGAAAACCTGGCAACCCTGACGGAGCTATATGGGTAATGACAGCACGCATTGCACGCATTTCAGTTTATTAAGCACCCCCCGAAAAGGCATGAGATCTGTATATATTTGTTTATTGTTAGTTGTAATAAGTGTTTTGTGAAATTCGTTGAATGTTGATGATAATGCAACTGAGAGAGAGTTTAATGTGCACTTCTCGTGCTGTGTTTTGTTTAGCTCTTATGGTGATTTTTTTTGGAGTGAAAAAGGACGCAATAAACTTAAAACCTCAGTAAAGTTTTGGTCATCATTCAGATGAGGTCCGCTACACTTATGAAAGTTACAAAAGTTATTTAGTCAAGAATAGTGTGC